ATGAGGCTCAGTGCAAAGACTCCTGTCTCTCTTCAGCCCCCGGACCTTCGTCTTCTCTTTGGACAGATTCCCACTGGGGTGGTCATCGCTGAAGACGTCGCTTGTCCTCTCAGTTTGCGTCTGAGTGGCCTTTCTCAACCAAACCTGGCTCCGCTTGGGCTCAGCTTCTCGGAGCCCGTCTTCCCTGAGGCTCACACCTCTGGAACTTGCTGGATGTCCTCCCTCTTCAGGGAGCCGGGCAGCCCAAACACGCCCTCACTGTACAGGGCCAGTTCAAATGGCCTGAACATTGCTAATCTACAATTAAGCTACATCAGTGTCTTATAGCAGCAGTCCATCTCAGATTTGAATTAAAACTGCCCTTAGTCTTTCCTACAAAGACTATTTATAGATTCACTCTTTCTTCCATTCTTAGTGTCCAAAACCAGCTCCCCACTGTTGCTCTACCTGACTCACCCCTGGTTGGCTTAAGGCTTTCTTACTCCAGAGGTCCCAATTTTTAACTTCTCTGCCACTCATCAACTCTGTTTAATGTTTTGTAACCAAAGGAACAATTATTATTTTACTCTATATACCTGGTACTACATGGGGAAAAATATAAGAATAAGAACCGGAAAAAGGTAGAGCCCCATATGCAAGGAACTTCATTCTAGCAGGGAACAGACAGAGCCCAGGAGCACAGATCACAAGACAGAACTTAACTCAAGCTAAGGGCATCTGTTTTCCCCCAGGAATAAGAAGGAGTTACTGCCTCCTCCTTATGAGGAATCTCCCAGAGGGGATGCGGGTATTGCACCCTGGGGCCGGGCCTGCTAAAGGTAAATACATATTGATGCTTCCACCCAAAGCTGTATTTGGGCTACAGAATTTCTGAGAAATGTAGAAGGAAGAACAACAGAAATGAACAATCTCCCTCCCATTGTAGAGACAATACCTGGAAGCAAAATCTGTCAGTGTTTCCACTGCAAAAGGACTAGATGTCTACAACTCTTCTCCATAACATGAACACACACACACACACACACACGCACACACTTTGGTAGACACTTCTATTCAGGGACATAATTACATGTGAATGAAAAGTAGGAGCTCCATAAGTAAAGGTCGAAGGGCAGTGACCTTCTCACACTGTAGCGTGTGAATGATGCTTCCTAAAGAAGCAGGAGGAACCATGATGGGCTCTGATGAAGTCACAGGGCTGACACAGTGAACTCACTGGGATTCCCATTGGGGTTCCAGAACGCCCAACGGTTATCACCCCTTGTCCTCATTTGAACTCAGAATAAATTTCTGAGAAAGACCTAGGAGCCTGATGCCATGGAGACCAAAACACCAGTTTTGCTGTTGATATAAAGTCTTTGGAGACGACAGCAGAGGTACGAAGGCTGAAAGAGTGTGCTGGAACCCCCTGAAATGAGTTGACTTCCGCAGGCCTCCTCTGCTGGGCTTACCACGCAACGGGAAGAGCCCAGATTGCCTACTCTCTGCAGGCAAGCAGTCCTGAAGAGTTCTAGACTCAGCAATCACATCCGTCACCCTGGCTCCCACTGAGGAGGAGAAAGTGGTGGGGCTACAAGCCACGAATACTTCTCATAGACCTGTCCTTTCATTCAAATAAAAATGGGAGGACTTCCCTGGTGGCGGCAATGGATGAGAATCTGCCTGCCAATGCAGGAGTCATGGGTTCGACCCCTGGCCCAGAAAGATTCCTCATGCTACGGGGGAACTAAGCCCATGTGCCACAACTACTAAAGCCTGTGTGCTCTTGGGCTGGTGGGCCGCCACTCCTGAAGCTCTCATGACTAGAGCCTATGCTCCACAGCAAGAAAAACCACTTCATTGAGAAGCCCGTGCACCGCAAGGAAGAGTAGCCCCGCTCTCTGCAACTAGAGAGAGCCCTTGCAAAGTAGTGAAGACCCAGCCAAAGCAGTGAAGACCCAGCCAAAAATAAATAAATAAGAACGGGAAATAAGTGTCCTCACGAGAGCTGCCTCAAGTTCTTCTCAGCCCTCAGAGGACACTGCTGTCACCCAAGCCACGCTCCGTCACCCCAGCACTGTAGTGAGAGGTTTATGAGCCTAGGGAGACTCATGAGAGGCTTTTTAAGAGACTGCAGTGGCAGCTGCGTCCTCCCATCTTTCCTCTCACATTCCCCTCTGGAACCTCAGGATCACACTGGGATTGATGGAGATCGACAAACCTAACGTGTTTTGGTTTGAGGTCTGGCAATTTCTATAACTCCAAAGTATTCCACAAATGTTTTTGTGTTCTACAAAACCAAAAAACACTGGCCAAGCACTTTCCCTCCTAATTTTTAAGCCCATGTGTCTTTAAAGGAAATGTAATCCATATGTTTCGGGTACATTTCTATGCAACTCATCAAACCATGCACGTCTGTATGAGTCATCTGATGTCTAAAATGCATGGGGAAAATCATAGATTCTTAAGAACTCTGTTAGCACAAGAAAGGCCATCAATGAGCCACTGATTAGAAGGTGATGAACTAACTGGATTCTGGTGTTGGCATAGACCACCAGTTCCTGGAGATTTATAAATAATCCTCTATATCCTCACCCATCAATTTTCCCATCTGTCAAACGGCGTTAATAATTCTTGCTGCCATCCTGCAGGCAGCCAGTAAGAATTAAAGTGTGGTTAACAGGCAATTTTGAGCTTCTTAAAGAGAAAATACAGGGACTCCTGTATTTGCCCCAACAAGTTTATTTTAGTCTAGCTTCCCACAGAGTTGGAGGATGAGAATGGCTCCTACCTTTGCTAATTCATCCCAGTCCCTTCATGACACAGATGACTTCACTCATCATATCACAGTTTCACCTGCTAGGGATGTTCAGCCTGACCACCTGTCCTCTACTAGGGACTCCTTATTTACAGGGATATGGGGAGTAAATGGGGCTTTCTTTAGTGGCTCAGTCAAGAAAGAATCTGCCTGCAATGCAGGAGAGAAGGGTTCAATCCCTGGGTTGTGAGGATCCTCTGGAGAGGGGACACGGCAACCCACTCCAGGATTCTTGCCTGGAGAATCCCATGGACTGAGGAGCCTGGTGGGCTATAGTCCATAGGGTCACATTGAGTCGGATACTACTGAAGTGACTGAGCATGTGCATGCGCACACACACAGAGGAAGTAAATGACAAAGTCATGGTGAATAATCTGCACAGACAGCCAGAGAATACTGGTTGATTTATTTGGAAAAGGGAAAGTTCTGGCTACTTGAGTAGGATCTTTAAGTAGAAGAATGATTTTTAGAGAAAGAGCTCTATTCTCCATATCTGTTGAATATAAAATAAGCAAGATTAAACTGCTAGCATGATAAAGCTTGAAGTGCACAGACTTTGATGTGAGGTGGACTTGGGTTATCTTCCCTACTCCCAGATTTACTGTGTGACATTAGGAAAGCTGCTTAAGCTCTTTGAGCCTGTTTCCTCATTGGTAACAAACAGGTTGCCTTAAAGATTAGAAAGAATGTAAGTAAAAAGTCTGGAACACAGTAGTGTTCAATCACAGATAACTACTATAATTACTGATGTTATTTTTCAACAGCCTGCAGGTTTTAATATGACATAATAAAGAATTTCCATGCTATCAGAAATTAATGAATAAGACACTGACATGGGCTAATGAGGATCTCTGGTTCTATTTTCCTGGAGTTCTTACAAAGAAGAACAGTCCATCACTCAGGACAGACATTTGTCTGTCCTAAGCAGTAAGATATTCACCAGCCTTAAGGGAGACACAGGCCATGGCCAAATGATGTGTCGAGATCCTATCTGGCCTAGTGAGGAGACAGGAGAACCTCAGGACTTGAACTGAGCTGTTATCACAATTTTCTAACCAGAAATATATGCTTCAAGACACAAGGTCTTAATCTCAAGATTAAAGTCTGCCTCCAATTTCCAGTGCAAGCTCTAATCCTGGTCAATACACCCTCTCTATTCTAATTTTCTCTCTAAGTCATGCCTCTGAAAAACAAGGACTCCAATGGGAAGACAAAACAAAGGGGGAAAGGAGAAAAAAAGAAAGCATTCTTTGGAATGCCAAGAAGAAAATAAACATGAAATGCTGCTGAAGATACAAGGAAAGAAAGTAATTGGATACCTACAGTCACCAGGATTGGTCTCTGGAGACAGATGGTGATGTCTAGAGCAGAAATTCTTAACTTTTTGGTCACAGATATTTGTTGAAAATTTGAAGAAAGCTATGGACCTCTCCCGAGAAAAATGCACACCTGGTCATCCACTCACAACTTTTCTTTCTCTATCTGGTAACTCACAGAACCCCTGAAATATTCATGGACCCCAAGTAAACACCTCAAACACCATAGAGGCTTCTTTATCAAAGGCCAGCTTTTATTTTGAGCTCCTCTTCACTAACAAGGTTCTCAAGAAGGCCAAGGCAGAGCCCCTAAAAGGGGGCAACAGGAAACAACTTATAAGCATGTTCTTGACTTGGCCATTGGGCATAGAATAGAAACCATTCTTCATTGGCTACATTTTGAAAACAAAGGCTTTTGTCTTATTTTAAAGAGTCATTAACAGGAAGGTATTTTCCTTGGGCTAGTCCACTAACTGGGCTTCCCAGGTTGCACTAGTGGTAAAGAAGCCAGCTACCTGTTGATGCAGGAGACACAAGAGACAGGAGTTCAATTCCTGGATGGGGAAGATCCCCTGCAGGAGAGCATGGCAACTCACTCTAGTATTCTTGCCTGGAGAATCTCATGGACAGAGGAGCCTGGCAGGCTACAGTCTGTGGGGTCACAGTCAGATATGACTGAGCATGAGCACAAATTACAAAGAACTGAATAATTCAACCTTTGGGAGGCAGCTTTTTGATTACTGAACAACTACCCATATCTCTTGGCCTGCGTCAGTCTAGCATGCAAATGTTCTCCAAAAAGCAGGAGCCACTACCACTAATGGGGTGTGGGGAAAATAACGCCACATAGAAAAGAAAGGTCAGTGAGTCTTGTCCAATTTGCTCACCTGTTTCTTCCAGAATCTCTGAATCCTTTAGCAAAAGGGTTTCGGTCAATTTTTAATCTGGTGATCTGGAAACAAACAAAAAAAAGGATGAACTGTATTTATATTAACTGATTTCTTTTTTGGTTGCTCCTAGAAACTTAACAAAAATCACCCAGTGAACAACAGCTGTTATTTTTATTTAACTTCCTTTTAGTTTGAGATTTAGATTGAAGTTGACATAGGACTTGGGCCTGGCACACAGATGTCTGACCCACCTGACCCACTTCTTCCTAAAAACCAACGTCTTCCCAGTATGTGACTCTGTAAACTCTCTTCTGCTCACCTTCCTTGCCCCCAAATGGTGATAAATCTTGTGCCCAGACAAACAAAGGTACCCAAATGGAAAACCGGACAATGGTCAGATACAAGACACACAGGAAGTACCTGAAAAGTACTTGTTGAATGAATGAGTAAATGAATGAGTGAGCAAGTGAGTGAAGAATGAATGAATGAATTCAGTCAATCCAATCAGGTACAATTAGACCACCAGACAACCTGCCTCAGCCTGACAGAACCAAATAATTGCCTGCATTTCCCATTTCACTTAAGCTGTGCCTTTTCTGCCTTTGTATACTGCTCATCTGATATGACATAAAATGATATTGTAGACAACACAAAAAAGTAGCTAGACTTTTGTCAAGGCTGCACCCAAAGAAAAATCTAGAAATGGGGGACGGGATGGGGCAGGATGCAGGGCATCTCACCCAGTTTCTTAAGTCCCATAAGTTAATCAAAAGAAACAAAGAAGCTGCTTCATAAGGCTGAGCAAATCCAGTGCAAGCAACTGTAAGCCAAGTTGGATGGGTCTTTAGAAGTCATGTGGTTCAACCACCACTCAGCACAAGATCCCCCTCAACTTCATCCTATCTTCGTCCCCTCCCATTCTGCTTTGGTATATATTACCCTGTTGCCTTCAGACCAGAACAAGCCTGACCAACAAATTCCATCTGTGCGCCTGTGTTTTTGCCTTTAACCTTTGTCATGGGAGGCATTTTGATATCTTCTGTCTGAACTGGATATTAATGACTCATTACATTCAAACAACAAAGACTTAGAGGTGGGACCTAGGGAGCTCAGGAAAGGAGGAAAGTCATCCTCAATGGTAATTCTAGGAGTAAGGAAATTTCATTTTTAAGATCATCTTCCCATTTCTTTTTTTTTAACCTTTTAAAAATTCATTTATTTTTTAAAATGAATTTTCAAATTCATTCATTTATCTTTTAACTGGAGGATAATTTCTTTACAATGTTGTGTTGGTTTCAGCTTTACAACAACACGAATCAGTCATAGTTATATATACATCTCCCCGCTCTTGAGCCTCCTGTCCCCCTCCCATCCCACCCCTCCAGGTGGTCAAAGAATGCATTTGAGTCAGTTGAACTGAGGTGGATAAACCTAGAGTCTGTTATACAGAATGAAGTAAGTCAGAAAGAGAAATACAAATACCATATAGTAATGCATATGTATACGGAATCTAGAAAAACAGTCCTGATGAGCCCATCTACAGGGAAGGAATGGAGATGAAGACATAGGGAACAGACTTAGGGACATCTTCCCATTTCTGATCACAGCAGAACTTATCACTAGGACAACCAACAGTGTTTCTTACATTGCAAATCTTTCCAGGTCCCTTTTCTGTCTCCCTTCGTCACAACAGAATTTCCTAAAGCCACAGTCTGAAGGTCTTTAAAATACAACGTGAAATTTTGTCAAAGAGACTCTGACTTGAAAGTACCAAAGTTTATTTTTTTCCCCTTAAACATTCCTTACTTCAGAGTGGTACACTAATAACGTAGCACTAATAATGAAGCAAAAGCAATTTTACATCTATTTTATAGACCAGAGCAGGAGCCTGAAGCTTCGGCTTTCTAAAGTCTAGTGTCTGCCCTGTGAATACTGTATTGACTTTAAAGACTGTCACTGCTTTTCTGTTTTTGCCTTAAAATCAGTTCTTTCTTCCTCCATAATCCATAGCAATAAACCACACACCATATTTTCTTTTCAAGTTGGAGTTATAATATTTTATTTTCTCTTTCAAGTTGGCTTATCCTGTCTGACTCATTTATGATAGCGGCTTGTGATATATGATTGCACTGCTGTGTTTTGGGGGCACAAACCCCAGTAAATATAATGACGTTCTATTTCATGGGCCTGGGAGAAACGGTTGAAAACCTGTTTCTCACAGTTCCCTGTATCTCAGGCCAAGGGGTCTGCAGGGAGATTTAATAGACAAATGCCACCAAATATTAGGAAACACAACACTTTTCTACTTCTTTCAAAGTTTTTAATGTGGGATTTACAGAGTTTTATGAAGAAGGTGATGGTGCTACTCATTATTCATTTATTATGAAGGGTTTCCCAGGTGGTGCACTGGTAAAGAATCCGCCTGCCAATGCAGGAGATGCAAGAGACACAGGTTTGATCCCTGGGTCAGGAAGATTCCCTGGAGAAGGAAATGGCAACCCACTCCAGTGTTATTGCCTGGGAAATCCCATCAGGAGTCTGATGGGTTACAGTCCATGGGGTTGCAAAGAATCAGACATGAGTGAGCATACACATTGTGTTACATTTGTGTGCAAAGCTATGTGACAGGTTGCAATCACAGAGTGGTGGACAATCAGTACTGTGAATCATCTGTGCCTTCCCCAGTAAAGCTTATAATCAAGGAGAAAAAAGAAGATACACATATATATATTAATAATTACAACATAAAACAAAAAGTTATAAGGTTTTGAATAAAGGCAAAGTGCCATAAGAGCTTAGAGGAAGTAATAATTGCTCCAAGCTAGCTGAAGGGCTCCCAGGTTTCACCTTAAAGGAAGCATGTAAGCCAAGCTGGGAAGGATGCATAGGATTTTAATGAAATCTGCAAAAAGGGGAGAAAGGAACAAGGGATGCATTTAAGAAGAAAGCTCTTATGTAAGTCATAGAATTGAAGTGGGAAAGAATGAAGGCAGCATTGTTTTGGCTGCATTGGTCTCAGTTGCATCATGTGGGATCTTGGTTGCGCTGTGTGGACTTCCCAGTTCTTGCACATAGACTTAGTTGCTCTGTGGCATGTGGGATCATAGTTCCTCAACTGGGAACCGAACCTACATCCCCTGCATTGGAAGGCAGATTCTCAACCAGCAGACCACCAGAGAAGTTCCAGAATGAAACATTTTTAAGAAACAGTGAAGAGTCCGATGTGACCAGAGCACAAGGTACAAGAAGAAAAGTGTGAGAGAGAAAACAGAGGCTGACCTCAGGTCACATCATGAAAAGCCTTTACTACCCTGCAGACATTTAGTTACCCTGTAGGCAGAAGAGAGCAATACTAGCTATCCACACCAAATTATGACCCCGATTAATGTCTATGCCAACAACTTTGGCTATGCCTACAAATACCAAGGGTGAGTTTCCCAGGTGGTTCAGAGGTAAAGAATCTGCCTGCCAACTCAGGAGATGTGGGTTCTATCCCTGGGTCAGGAAGATCCCCTGGGGGAAGAAATGGCAACCCACTCCAGTATTCTTGCCTGGAGAATCCCATGGACAAAGGAGCTTGACGGGGTCACAAAAATTCAGACACGACTGAGCACTCACACACACACAAATATCAAGGGTAACATGGACAGTATTTTGGAGGAGTAAATCAACATATTCACAACATCAATAATCCCATAGTTCCCATATCAAGAGCCACCTAGTGGATTCAGTATAGTGGATGCTAAGTCGCTTCAGTTGTGTCAGACTCTGTTGTATCTGACTCTGTGCGACCCTATGGACCATAGCCCACCAGGCTTCTCTGTTCATGGGATTCTCCAGGCAAGAACACTGGAGTTAAGTTGCCATTTCCTCCTCCAGATTCAGTATAGAAAGGGATGCAAATGACAGCTTGCTGTCCTACAGAAGGAAAGATGTGACATGAGATGAATTTTCATCAGGTAGAAAAAGAAGTAAAAGAATCCTCCCTTTCTACTCCAGTGGGACATGAGAAGAGAGGTGACAGACAGAAGAAAGACAAGCAGTTAGGTTTACACGTGCTTGTGTGCTCCGCTCAAACTAAGATCCAGGGGCAGGCCTGGGGAGACTCCGAGGCGCACTGACAGCTCACCACACACACGGGGAGGCTGCACTAGCACGGATGCAGCAGGAAGAGGCCTGAGTTAGGGCTCCCGAGCATTCCATGGCCCTCTACAGAGGGTCAGGGGCTCAGAGGAGAAGGCACGGGGACCGTGACACAGAGGTGCTGCCATCCAGACAAGAGCCAGAGGACCTGGATGAAACCTGAGGTGGAGCCGAGCTATCCAGGGACGCCCAGGGCGTCTGACTGAGGCAGGAACACCAAAGCACAAGTTCAACGGTCTCCTGTTGGTGGAGCATATCAACACAAGGAACCCAAGGACCAGCCCAGACCTGGCCCCAGGCCACACCCCTAGCAGAAGTCAGTGAGAACCAGAGAACAGCGCAGGGGCCCCCAAGAAACCACAATTAGGACTCATAAACCCCATTGCGCCCATCCCTGCCCATGCACTGTACATCTGGAATAGCAGGGGAGGCTCGTTTGAATACTTCATTATCAACCCTTAATGTTATTTATTTACTATGACCAAATAGGATGGTCAACCTCTGCCTCCCCATCTTAGTTAGACCAGGTCACTGCTGTCTTTTGACTAAACTACTCTAAATACCCTTCAAACTAATCTCTCCTCTTCCACCCTTGTGTGCTAAGTCACCTCAGTCATGTCTGACTCTTTGCAACCCTAGGGACTGTAGCCCACTAGGCTCCTCTGTCCATGGGAATTCCCTAGGCAAAAGTACTGGAGTGGGTTGCCATGCCCTCCTCCAAGGAATCTTCCTGGCCCAGGGATTGAACCTACGTCTCTTATGTCCCTGTTCAATCTCTTCTCTTCACTCAGCAACCAAAGTGATCTTTGTTAACATACAGCCAGACCATGTCACTCCTTCAGTGCTTACCACTGGACTCAGAATTCAATCCAAGCTCTGCCTGGCCTTGCAGGGTCAGCATGCCCTGGCTCCTGCCTGC